CTGAATTAGGAAAATGGAATGGATTTGTTCTTAGCTGATACAAACCAAACATAGAATAAATGGTATTTTTGCTATGCTAGAAATGATTTTTAAGTCCTGGGCTATGAATAATTATATCCTATATAATAAAAGGCTAATATGCAAATTGACCAAATGGCAGAACGACCAGTCACTATGACACGCACTGACCACCAGGGGTCAGATGCTCAATGCAGGAGCTGCCCCCTGGTGGTCACTGAGCTCCCACAGGGGGAGCACCACTCAGCCAGAAGCTGGGCTCACGGCTGATGGGTGCAGTGGTGGTGGTGGGAGCCTCTCCTGCCTCTGCTGCAGCGCTAAGGATGTCTGACTGCCTAAGCCATCAGCCAGATATCCCCTGAGGGCTCCCAGACTGTGTGAGGGCACAGGCCAGGCTGAGGGCCCCCCCCCCCCACTCCAAGTGCATGAATTTGATGCACTGGGCCTCTAGTATATATATGTACATAAGTATATGTATATGTATGTATATACGTATGTATACATATATACATATATGTATATTTTTAATATAGGTTTTTATTGGACTCAGAACAAATAGCTTTAGGGAAGAGTTAATATTACTTGCCCTCAAAAATAGAAAGAACATTAAAATGAGTACTGCTCTTTCATGTCTGCCATATAAATCTCAGAATTAACATTTCTCTAATTACACCCTTATAACATTATTATAACTGCTTTTGGCATAGTGTTACATGGTTGCAGAGATGTGTACATGTTTATCCCAGTACACTCATGTATTTTAGATTCATCCTTTTACAGTGTGTACAGCAATAGTGACAGTGATACAAGGGTCAGTATTAACTGAATGTATACTATGGTGCAGAATACTATGCTAAATGCTTTCTGTGCAGTTTCATTTAATTCTCACAATAAGCACATTGTTAGATTTAAGTCTGTTCCTCAGTCCAGATTTATTGCCCTGGTCATCTTTAATCACTAATTCTGGAATTGTTTTCTAGTTTGGCAAGAGGTATGAAAAGTATGTTAGATTGGTTTATCAGGAATCTTTTGTAAAGAAACAGTTCACTAGGAGAACAAAAGCACCATGAAGTCTGAATTCATCCAGAGTGCTCTAGGAGCAGAGAAAAGTGGTATGTAGCTTGATGTTGGTTCGTTCAAGGAAAGATTTCATTACTTCTGGAAGCCTTAATTTATTCTAGAGAATTATTATACTAGAAACCTTTAAACTTACAGTAGTTTAAAACTGTATGTTCAGTCTAGGCTTAATGTACATAAAACATAATAGATATTTGAAATTGAATGACTTATTTGCATTTGCTTTTAGCGCCTACATGTGCTCAAAAGTAGTGATACTGATGTAATCACAATGTTTTTAAAGGTTTTGAAAGAGGAAGGGAAGACATTTCTCAAAATAGAGATGACTCTTCACTTTCTATGTCAAAGAGCAAGGTAAGCGTATTGTTGTCCCCAAATATATGAGTACAACATTTTTCTAACATTTAAGATGAGGAAATTAATACTGTAATCCTATCAGATCTTGGTGAGATGTTCTTATGTGGTATATCTAAGCCCGTGATGGCGAACCTATGACACGCGTGTCAGAGGTGACATGCAAACTCATTTTTTTGATTGATTTTTCTTTGTTAAATTGCATTTAAATATATAAAATAAATATCAAAAATATAAATCTTTGTTTTACTATGGTTGCAAATATCAAAAAATTTCTATATGTGATATGGCACCAGAGTTAAGTTAGGGTTTTTCAAAATGCTGACACGCCGAGCTCAAAAGGTTCGCCATCACTGATCTAAGCCATGGATGATATGGTGAAAAAAGGAACATTTCACTGGGGCTGGTGTTCACTTGCAAATTTGGCCTTTAGATAACCAGTATCCTCCCTGGAGTTATTGTTTCTGGTATGGCTGCTACAGCAGTACTTCTCAAACTGAAAACTGATAGTTCCATCTGGAGAAATTCTCAGGGTTTATTTATTTTTTTTTTTAAAATTAAGTGTTTGGGGTTCATTTGAATGACCATCCAAATGTGTACATTTTACGTAAGTCCAAAGATCTTCAGTAATTGCTTGCAATTGAAAGACATTTTCTTAGAATAAGACATAGTTTCCTGAGTTAGTTTTTCTCAAACCAAAATACCTATATATAAAGTACATGTTTGAGAAATAAATTGAGAAGCACTATATGATGCCTTGGTTTTCCTATGGGTTTGTAATTTACTAGATTTTCATAATATGTCAAGGGATTTGACTTTTGACTATTACTTCTGGTCAGGTTTAATAATAGCAGGAGAAACTTATGTTTGTGGAATCAAACTTTGAAGATGTGAAGTAAGAAAGCCTATTTCTTAAGCTAGTAAATTCTCTGCTATTCTCAGCAAATGACTTTGGTTTAAAACACTTTACATTTTTTTGTTCCTGTTCTTGGGAGTGGTTGAGAAGATTACATATGTTTTAATGTATAATTTTACACAAATTTTATTTGTGCTTAACTCTTCAAGTATTCGTTACATAAAGGTCCATCTATCATATGTGTAAAAGTACTTATGATGGAAGTTTAATAGTGCTTTATATGTAGGTAACATATACATGAGAAATGCCTTGATTATTTTATATAAAATATACTTAAAGAAAATTAAAGAGAAAGTGATTATCTTGGGTCTGCCATGGCTAGAAATACAATGCAATTTATAGGATTTTAAAAACCTACTTTCAAATCTTAATACCAGAATTGGTGAGTACATGGTATAATGTATTCCTTCCTACTCAGAAGCCTAAACACTTAAACCCCACACCTACACAGCCCCCTATATGTAGTCTATAAATAGGGGAGGGGGGAGCAGGGAACCTAAAAAGAAAGTTCACATACCTTAGTGAAACAGTATGCTTTGAAACTGCTCTTTGAGTACAGTAGCACCTAGTCATACATGATTCTTTAAATTTAAAGTAATTAAAATGAAATGAAATTAGCAATTCCGTTTCTCAGTTATATCAGTCTCATCTCAAATGCTTAATAGCCACATTTGACTAGCAGCTACCATATTGGACAACTGAGATATGGAACATTTCACATTTCTGTCATTCAGAAAGCTCTACTGGACAGCATTGCTTTAGAGTAAATAAAGCTAGTTTAAATCTTGATTCTCATGGTTAAGATAATGGTCAGTGCCCTGGCTGGTGTGGCTTAGTGCTTAGAGCTTTGGCCTGAGCACAGAAGGGTCTCGGTTTTAATTCTCAGTCAAGGGCACTTACCTGGGTTGCAAGCTGGATCCCTGCCCCAGTATGGAGTGTATGCAGGAGGCAACCAGTGGGTGTGTCTCTCTCACAATGTTTCTCGGGGTGGGCAATGGGATAAAGACACATATGTAATACCTTAATCAATAAAGAAAAAAAAAATTAAAAACTAATGGGAAAAATATCCTTGAGTTATTGTTTCTGGTATGGCTGCTATAGGAATACTTCCTTTTGTTAATTTGACAATTAACAAAACCAACCAAAAAATATAGTGGTCAATAAGATTTTAAAAGAAGGAAAACTTAGTAAGCTATTTCCAACAAAAAATATTTTTGGTATTTAAAAGGTAACCTATTCATTCTGAAAACTTAGTGATGTATTTAAAAAGACTGCAGACCTCTTGGTCACTGGATCTTTTTTTTTTTTTTTTTTCAGAAGTAGCTATACAATATGGCAAGGATTTTTTGAAATATATGTGTTCTAATTTATCAAGCTTGTATGATACCCTTCTGGCCTGTTGGTCCCTTATATACTGGAATCTTTTAGGAATTACCAAGCTAGATCTTGTTATGTGTAGGAAACAGATTTCCTATTGTTCTTGAAGATAAGTATTAAATTTTAGTCTGAGTCAGATTATGTATAAACAGTTTTAAAAGGTGAGAAATCAATATAGTGAGATGGCTAAGAGCATGAGACCGGAAATTAGCCAAACCAGAATACAAATCCCAGTTTATCTACTTACTAGCTGTGTGTGACTTGAGGGAAGTTAGTTATTTAATCTCTTGGTCTTAATTTCCTTATTAGCAAAAGGAGATACTACTGTCTCATGGGGTTGCCTTGAGGATTAAATGAGGTAGTGCACATAGAGTGTTTAGCATAGTACTATTTTTGTTTCTTTATTATATTTTATTCCCCTAATGTAGATTAGTTTTTAAATTCGAATACTATACTACATGGAGAATCAGTCTTTGAAAATGAACATTTGCGGAAATCACAGAAATAAATGGGAAAAATGTCACAAGCATAGCTAGAACATTAATATTTTTATGCCATATGTTTAGGATAAATAAAGGTTTTAATTTTTTGTTGTTGTTAATTTCTATGTGATTTTAGTCTGAATCTAAACTTTATAATGGCTCGGAGAAGGACAGTACAGCTTCAAGCAAGCTCACAAAAAAAGAATCTCTCAAGGTTAGTTTCCACAGTCATTTCATAACTAACATTATGCTTTGCATGTGCTTTTGAAAGTAGGCTAATAAGATAAAGAAGTAAAAGTGTCTTCCTGAAAGAAGAAAAAAAATCCAGAGAGGCACACATTAAAAATGTCAATATTTGTATGACATTCTGGAGACAACTGAAAAGGCTGCATAATGACTCTCCCAGAGCAGTTTCAGGCCTCACTTGGCCACTGCATGGGTGGAGGACTAGGTGTCTTTGCAGAGCTGTCCTCAGTCAGGCACATCACTGTGCCCTTTGAAATTCAAGTTTTCTAACTGCTGGGTCATGCATGGACTGAATCTGGGCATTGGGTAAATATACAGACGTCCTCATTTCACATTGTCAGTTGATTCTTAGAACTGAGGTGAAATGATAACAAAACCAATTTTACCATCGGCTAATTGATACAAAGGAGTAAAGTTTCCGTAGCATCTAATCACCGTTACAATGAAGTAATGGTGAACAAAATGATGTTATTTGAGGACCTGCTGTATTTTATTTGACCTACACGGTGTTTAAAAAATTCAACAATTGCAAGTTCAGATTTCCAGCTTCTCTTAAGAAATGTCCAATATGGCCTGGCTGGCGCAGCTCAGTGGTTGAGTGTCGACCTAGGAACCTGGAGGTCACGGTTTGATTCCCAGTCAAGAGCACAGGCCTGGGTTGCGGGCTCCATCCCCAGTGGGGGGCGTGCAGGGAAATGTGCATTATGGGGCCTGCCTTCCAGATCACCACAGATCCTGAAGCCTAAGGAACACATCCTTTCCAATTGACTGATCCCTGTGTAGTCTCGTACCTCTCCCCCACCCCCCATATTTGATTTTGTATTTATTTGCACTTATAATTTCATATTAAATCTACTCTTAATTCATGTGTGCATTGTAATAAAGACCAAAAGTCTATAATTTTTTGGCTGTAGAATTATTAAAATTTTGTTATTTGTATGCAGTAAGACTAGGAAGATTTTGTGTTATAGTTAAAAAAAATATTCATATCACTGACATGTTTCACCATTCTCCCATCTATGTAATAATAACAAAGCAATAAGGCTAGATTAATTCACTGCTACTTTCCCAAATTATCTCAGAACTGGCTTAGTTACTTATATTTTACATATTAGTATCAGGAAAGAGCAAAATTGTCAGTTGTAAACCGTTGGAGCATTGTTCATAATGTGAAAAAACTGCTAACAGAGAAGATTTCCATGAGTATTAGAATATATTAAGAAAAATTTTAGAAGCAATATGGCATGGCGATTAAGAGCATGTCTTTTAGAGACAGTCTGCCTCTGTTTGGATCCTGCTTCTGTTACTTACTAGCTGTGTGATCCTGGGCAAGTTACTCTCTGTGCCTCAGTTTTATCTTTTGTAGAATTAGGGTACTAATAGTCCTACTTCCCAAGGTGATTGTATAGATTAAATGAAGTTAAACATGTAAAGTGCTTAGAACTGTGACTGGCACACAGAACATACCCAGTAAATGTTCGCTCTTATTATTTATACTAGGAATTCTATGTAGCAGTGAAAAAATGAGGTGGAGCCCTAGCCGGTTTGGCTAGGCAGGGGTGGGCAAACTTTTTGACTCGAGGGCCACAATGGGTTCTTAAACTGGACCGGAGGGCCGGAACAAAAGCATGGATGGAGTGTTTGTGTGAACTAATATAAATTCAAAGTAAACATCATTGCATAAAAGGGTACGGCCTTTTTTTTTAGTTTTATTCATTTCAAGCAGGCCGGATCCGGCCCGCGCGCGGGCTGTAGTTTGCCCACATCTGAGCTAGAGCGTCAGCCCATGGACTGAAGGATCTCGGGTTCAATTCCGGTCAAGGGCACATACCTTGGTTGCATGCTCAATCCATAGTGCTGGTCAGGGCATGTGTGGGAGGCAACCAGCTATATGTCTCTTTCACATCAATGTTTCTCAGTCTCTGTCTCTCCCTCTCCCTTCCACTCTCTAAAAATCAATGGAAAAACATCCTTGGGTGAGAATAACTGAATGAGTGAATGAATGAATGAATGAATGAATGAATGAGACATGGAACTGCTCCAAAAAATAATGAATTGGAGAAAAACTTCTTGATGTGTTTAAAAATTCAAACACGAAAGTTGTATATTTGATAGGATCTATACATAGAAAAGGGCTAAAAGGATAGTGTTTTCAAAATGGTTAACAGTGGTCAATTCTGTGGATTAGAATAGGATAGGGTATACGAAAGATGGCTTTTTAGCTTTATTTGTGTTGTTTTAAATTTTTTACCAGGAAATTGTATTTATGTATTGTGTAGTTTTAAGAAGGTAGAATTATTTTAAAAGATACAGAGAACTGAACTAGTGATCAGAAAAAGTTAGATTCACTTCTCTAAAAATTCTACCAGTTCTTAAAAACAAAACAACAACAACAAAAACACTGAAAAAATAGTTCTTTTATCCTAAGGCGCTAGAATTCTAAAAGAGGGTTAGACTTTTATACTCTAGATTCTATAGAACTAAAAATTTTGAAAATAGCCCATTTCTAATGAATTTTTAATTTTGCTATTGTTTCTGTAAAATAGGTGCAAAAGAAAAATTACCGAGAAGAAAAGAAAAGAGCCACAAAGGAGTTACTCAGTTCAATCACAGATCCTTCTGTTATTGTCATGGCTGATTGGTTGAAGGTCAGTTTGTATTGAATCTTGAATTCTCATTGCTGGATGTTTATCTACTGGAATAAGAAAGCCCAGAGTACACTAAAGCCATCCTGCAAGACATAAATAACTACTAGGATGATTGTTTTGCACTGACAAACTATTAATTATATCCCAGAGGTTCTCTGTTCCAATCTTAATGGGGAGAAGGAATCTTAATGTTGTTCTTTCTTGACAACAACATCAAGTATGTATAGCAGTTCGTTTAAAAAGGTTTTTTGATTTGTACGACATTATGTAGTCTAATCAGTATGCTATAAAAAAGTATTTTAGCCCTAGCCAGTTTGGCTCAGTGACAAGAGCTTCGGCCTGCAGACTGAAGAGTCCTGGGTTGATTCCCAGTCAAAGGCATGTACCTCTGTTGCAGGTTCGATCCCTGGCCCAGTCTGGGTTGGGGCATGTGCAGGAGTCAACCAATCAATATGTCTCTCTCACCCCCCGCCCTCCTCCCTCCCTTCCACCCTCTCAAAAATCAATGGGAAAATATCCTTGAGGATTTAAAAAAATTATTTTTAGATTATCATTTAGTGTTATTACAGACTTGGCATATGCATTATTGAGAAGATATGGTACAAAGTTAATATAAAAATTATCATTTGAAAAGGATTAGTTTTCAGAGAAATATACATATTGCTGTTTCCATGACTTATTATTTTGGCCTCTGGTTATTCCCACTTATTTATATTTCCTTTTTTTATATCAGTCACTCTCTCTTGTTTTTATCAGAAGGATATTTGGTAGTAATATTTCAGACTAAGGCTAACTTTGAGAATGATCTTATAAAACCCTGACTCCCAAGAAATTTTAGTATCTGGCATTGACCTAAAAATCACCCCATTCCTGAAAGCTTTGCGCTTTCCCAAAGAGTTGGTAATTTCACCAACCTAAAATCTTTATGAGATCTGTCATTGAAGTTCTCTTACTAACATAGGAGTCTAGTGCTGGTTTCCCTGAGAGTTCAAGTAATATTAGGGTCTTCTTCAATGTTGTGCTGAAAACACCTTCTAATTTTGACTTTACTTAAAAGACTTCAAGCTCCAGATCACACTTGGGTTTTTCAGAGCTAAATCTACTCTTGTCTTTTTAACATTGGATTTCCCCAACCAGTTCACAAACTCCCTAATACTTCCCCTGGCTGACTTTCTAAATCCTACCTGAATTCTGATAATTTACCATTCATGTTTTACTATCACATCTCCAAGATCTAGAATCTTATCTCAGAATAACTTACTTTCCATCTCTTTTACATATATGCAAACTCTTTCTTAAAGATTTTCTCTTTTTTTCATGTCTGATTCCAAATGCCCCCTTTCTAAATTTTTCTTATGTACAGTTACTGTGGTATGCCTATTTGAGGAATTTGGGAGCCTTATACTTATTTCGTAATTCATGTTAAGTGCATTGAGAGAACAGATGTTTTACAGTAAATAAAACTGAGGATAATTCCTAGTTTTTAATATTAATACTATATTAGCATCCTTTTCAGTACTGTGAACTCAGTGACTTACATAGAAACACTATTAATGGATTACAGATATAGAATAGGAAAAGGTAGCTATAGACTATTTTTTTTACATAGCATTAAACCCTAGGATGAGGAACATTTTTTAAGACTAGAGAGAGAATTATGTGACTTGTGTTTTAAAATATTCCCAAGAAGTTTATATGGCATACTCTATGTAATTACTAACAATGGAGTAATTTAGAGAAGGTGATTTTAGGGATAGAGGATGTTCTTCCCTTTTTCTACAACTCATCAAATATTTAGGGAATTTCTGGTGTGTGTTAGCAGTGTTTGCAGCACTTTATGTAGTGGTAAAGGGATAAGATTTTAAAAGGTAGAATAATCTTATACTCACAGAAATAAAATTACAGCTGTTACAGATGCTAAGAGGAGACTATTAGGAAAGTATATTTTAATAGTCCCTAACCTAACCTAGAAGGTTAGGAAAGCCATTCTACTAAGTACAGTATTTTGAAACTGGTGACCCAGTCTCCCACTAGAATTTAAGAACCTCAGAAGCAGGAGTCATGCTATTTTTCTATTTATTATTAATGCTTGCCATTTAGTAGGTTTAAAAGAATATCTATTGACTTTAACATGTACGTTTTCTAGAAATTTTAAATTAAAACATCCTATTTGCCATTATTCAGTTTACGTTTTATGGAGCAGAAAGAGAAAAACAGAGCCTTATTTATTATACTTACTTTCTGTAGATACGTGGTACTCTGAAGAGCTGGACCAAGTTGTGGTGTGTGTTGAAACCTGGGGTGCTACTGATCTATAAAACCCAAAAAAATGGTCAATGGGTAGGAACAGTCCTTCTGAATGCTTGTGAAATCATTGAGCGTCCATCAAAAAAGGATGGCTTTTGTTTCAAACTTTTTCATCCTTTGGAGCAATCTATTTGGGCAGTGAAGGTAAGTACTTGTTATATAGGTAAAAAGTAAAGATGGTAATCTGTGAGTAGAACTGAGACAAATCAATCTGTCTAATGGTTGCTATTCTGTGACAGCACTTATAAATTTATTTCTGTTTTTAAGGGTATTATTCCTCTGTCCCTACCCACAATGAAATTTGCACCAAATGTTCTTGTTTACCTTTAAGATCTAACTTAAACATTTCTCCAGAAAAATGTTTTTAACTTACATTGTTTGTTATCTCTTTGCTATGGGGATTCAGTTTGTACTGATTTTCAAAATTTGCAATTAATAATTCTGCTTTGTAATGTTGTATCATATTTACTGTGTTTTTCTGTTCATCAAAATTGTAAGATACCATAGAACAGAAGCTGCCATTTATTTTTGTAAGTTTTTTTGTAGTAATATAAATATGTGGTAAGTATAAGCAATCACAGGCTTTCTTACTCTTGAGAGGCAACGTTCTTTGAAGATGGAACTCTAATGCTTTATAACCAAAAAACATTACTGTGGTCATTCCTGTGTTATAATAGCAGAAACTTAATCAGGAAAATAGAAAAGCCTTATTTTGATTAACTACCAAGAAATTCTACAGTAGATGTGCAGTACACGCTAACAGAATAAATGTGTCTGAGCCTAGTTTAAGTTTTTACAAAGCCACCATTGTTTTAATTTTAAGAAGGCCAGTTACGCTTGAATAAAGGAGAACTCCTTTAAGGAAAACCACATAATTGAGATTAGCACTAAGTAAAAGTAGCTTTGGCTTTTAAATATTTTTGGTATTGCTTAATAGGGCAATATACATATACCTAGGAAAAAAAACTGGGCTTTTTACCTTTGTTTCAGTAGCCTAAAGAGAAGAATAAATTTAGGATTACAGAGTTAGTTCCATTCTGGAATTAGATACGGCCAACAGGGGAAAGAATTTAACCCATACAGCCTGTGGTATTTATATATCATATGATACTCAAATGAAAAAATTCCTTTCAAAACCTTTTATATATAGAATTTATTCTTTACTATTACTCTTAGGAATTGTAAGAATTATAATGAATTTTAAGTCATTAAAAATACTTTCAGTCCTGGCCAGGTAGCTCAGTTGGTTAGAGCATCGTCCCAATACACCAAGGTTGTGGGTTCATTCTCCAGTCAGGACACTTAAGAAGCAACCCATGAATGCATAAATACGTGGAGCAAAATGTCAGTGTTTCTCCCCCCGATCCTTCCTCTCTAAAACCAATAAATAAAAAATTTAAGAAATAATAAAAAATAAATTTTGATATCAAGTTTATTTCATTCCAACTATCTGTGAGAGGGAAGTTTGTACAATTACATGAGCATCAGAATATTCCCAACAAGCAAAACCTACTTAGGACATTGTTTAAACACTTTTAAAGTCCGTATCTATGATTAGGAAAAAATAATGTTTCTGAGTTCTTAACTATGTGTCAGGGATTCTTTTGAGCATTCTACATGGAATATTTTTTTTAATTCTCATAACTTTAGGACGAATACAGTTTTCTCTTATTAACCAGACAAAGAGATTGAGGCCTAAAGAATAATTTTTCTAGCATGGAACCAAAGTTGAAACCCAGACAGTCTGACTCTAGTTACTATTCAATACTGGTTCTAGGAACTGTCCCATAAATTATAAAGCTATTTGAAAATACCCAAGGGATTTTAGAAGATTTGTTAAAATCATATTGATTTTTCTATTTTTAAATTTTGACTCTGAATCTTTACTTTCTAATGATTATACTTTTTAAAGTTCATTTTATTCCTTGATCTGAGAACTTGAAAATTATGCTTTTCAATCAAAATTATACTATAAATTGAATCCTCAGATTTTTCTTTCCAAATAAGAACTATATCCTCCTAAGATTAGCCTTGATGATAATAATTACTATAGAGCTCTTGGTGTTGTATACTTCTAAAACAATCCCAGCCAACAACAGTAATAAAATTTCTTTAAAATTAGCTTTTATAGTTGGTATTTATAAACAAGTACATTACTGCTTATAAATAGAGCTTTATTTTTTCCCTAGACCTAGTAAAAATTCTTTTTTTCTTTTGCTTATAAATTATAGCTATATTTCCAGCTGTTTCTTTTTTTCTTTCCAGCTGTTTCTTTTTTAAAAAAATATATATTTTATTGATTTTTTTACAGAGAAGAAGGGAGAGGGACAGAGAGCCAGAAACGTCGATGAGAGAGATCGATCAGCTGCCTCTTGCATGCCCCCCAGTGGGGATGTGTCCGCAACCAAGGCACATGCCCTTGACCGGAATCGAACCTGGGACCCCTGAGTCCACAGGCCGATGCTCTATCCACTGAGCCAAACCAGTTCGGCTTTCCAGCTGTTTTTTTATAGGTTCTAGAAGTTAAGTATTTTTTCTAATAGTATATGTGAGATGGAAATTCTCTGTTAAATTAAAATTTTGTATAGTATGGTGAATTTTAGATTTTCTTTTAATGTGTGAACAATGTACAGAAATAATGTTTAACTAATGATAAATATAAGTTGTTCAATTTTTTGGTAAGGAGGTATATTTGTTGGGAAAGGAAAACTTTCCTTAAACTCAACACTTGCTTTCTCAAGAAGCATGAAATTAAATCTTGTTTGCTTTTAAATTATAATCTATGGCTAACTTAGATTGTTATTGATAATAATAGATAATATGAGGTCAAGATATTACAATACTATATGCCATTTATTTTGCTTATTTTTATTTTTTTTGTTTATTTTAAGGGTCCAAAAGGTGAAGCAGTTGGATCCATAACTCAGCCTTTACCTAGCAGTTACTTGATCATCCGAGCTACTTCAGAGTCAGATGGTAAATACAAGTTTTGATGGGTTGGATTTTGGTCTTATTTTAAAAGGTTTATTTATATTCCACTGTGTATTTTCCTTTGGGAAAATCTGTCTTTAGTATGGTATTTGCAGCAGAAGTATTGTAATCAATTGCTTAGAACATCAAATATATCATTAACTTGGTAGAAAACAGAGGAATCTGATAGGAAGTAGGCATTAGATAATTAAATGATGAATTAACAGCCTTGAGTTTTCTTCTTTATTCTTCACTGACATCTTATCACCTTCTTGATTTGTTTAATGTTCCTCGTGGTAACTCGTTAAGTTTTATCATTTTAGAGGTACATTTAATATTATTTTCTATCACTAAGTATTAATATTTTTAAGACACACTATTATAATTTTTTAAAATATAAACATTTAATTATAAACTGTTGTTCTGCACTTATTAACTTAATACATAATTCCTGAAGCAAATATAGGGAAAGCAAAACTTATTTATTTGAAATCAAGGTAACTTTAAAACTTTACTAATTGATAATGGATTTCTGTCACACTTTTATATTTTATAGTTTAGACTAGCTTAGCCTAAGGAATCCTGTAACTTTCCAGAGTTTACTTTTACCAGATGATTATTTTTAAAATTAAATTATCATAGGCACAAGTATTTGTTATAAAAGTGTTTTATTTGGCTGATAATTCCAGCAAATGCTGAAACAAATATATGTGGATTTTAAGTGAAGGTACCATTTTTTTCTGCTAATTACAGTTCTAAATTTCAATTTAAAAAATAATCTTAATAATGTTTCTACTAACTAATATGGCAGTTAATAACAGTATTGTACAGGCATTTCCCTGACTTAAAATTTTTTATACATATGAGTAAAATGGATCCTAAACCTGGGAATAGACCCACTACCAACAAAACATTTTTTAGTTTGTTTATAGTAAAACATAACCCCTTCAGTATATTTTATATACTTTTTAGGTACCTTCAAATTATACTATATATTACTGTTCTAAAATTTAAAAAATAAAATACATGTATTTTCACTAGGTATACTTACCAATGTATGCTATATTCTATTCATTTACCAATGGTTTTTAGATACTTAAGTTGTAAAAAAACACTTGATAAACTGAAAAATCACATTTAAAAAATCCTTATAAGACTTGATGTTCAAAGTAACTTTTCTGGTGCATGTTTCTCAGAGAAATGATAGTATGCCTACAGGGTAACAGTGTTACATTAAGATGGATGCCAGTTTGTGTAGTTTCTCGAATTATATTGCTTATGAATCTGTGTTCTTCTAGGAAGGTGCTGGATGGATGCTTTGGAGTTGGCTTTGAAATGTTCTAGTCTTCTTAAACGTACAATGATCAGGGAAGGGAAGGAACATGACCTGAGCATTTCATCAGAGAGCACACATGTGACTTTGTATGGCTTATTACGTGCTAACAATCTTCACAGTGGTGACAACTTCCAGTAAGTAGATATTGCCCCTAATTTGGTAATTTGGAGACCATGTTGTTCACTAGGTCAATTGGCAGGCCTAGAATTTTTGTAGTGTATGTAGGATTGAAATTTGGCTGTCTACTTCTGATTATATGATCTAAGGCCTGGTTTAAGATTTGTTTAGTTACTATGATGAGGTATAGAAAGTTATTTCCATGATCCTAGCTAATGTGAATTACTTGTTATTTTCTAAATGCAACCATGCTGTTGTCTACCGTGTCTTTGTGTATGGCATTCCCTTCATTAAGAATGAGTTCTAGTCCACCTTGTTCTTTTCTCCCATCAAAAGACTATGTATTCTTCAAGACTGACCTCAAATATTGTATCATATGTGAAAGTCTACCTTGCTCTTTTCTCCTGTCATAGGACTATGAATTCTTTAAGACCGATTCAAATGTTATATGCGAAAACTTTCATGCCTCCTAACCATGAAATATCTGGCCTTCTATTGCTGTTCTGTAATGGCACTTGACTTATTATTTATTTTGTAATGGTATTTGATTTAATCCTTTCTGGTATTTATGGAATCCTCCTATGATATTGTGCTTTGAGTTGGAACTGTGTCTTATTTTGGTTTTACCACCTGAAGCATTTATAGTAGTTAATTTTAAAAAAATTTTCTTCAGGGAAACACAATACTTTCCTTGAGGTTCAGAGGTTTGTTGAGGTTCAGATTTATTTTGTTGCTTTGTAGGAAGAACATTAGACTTCCCCTTTTCCTCCCTTGCTCCAATGCTCAATTTCTGCTCTACAGCTACTTACTGCTATGGGCATTGGATTGCTCTCCTGAAAGTTGTTAGACTGCCATTCCCCTCCGTGTAACCTGAGCTGAACTTTTTTTTTCTCTTATCCTTTTGCTTGACTCTTTTTCTTCACTCTCTTTGAAAATTTCCATTACCTGACCTTTTACATCCTTTCTTTGCAGAATTATAATCTCGAGTTTTATTAATCCTCAGAACAAAAGCCTGAATGGGAAAAGCTTGGGGGGTGGGAGCACAATTTATATAGGAATGGATGTTTGTTGGGGCCTCTTCCTGAAATGTTTTCGTTGAAGCTCATCAGCTGTAAAATGTACATTGTTTTTGTTGAATACCAGGTAATCTCTAAATGCTCTTATTTGGGGATCTTAACAATTCATTTGCTTCACATATTTATTCATTAAAAATTTGGAGCTTGTTTTCTGTATAGGTACTGTACACTTTTCTGTATAATTTTGAATAGGGAGATGAATCTGATATGATCTTAAATTTGAATCCAGTCTAACAGTTTATTAGCTATGTGATCCTGAAGAGATGTTTTGTTGTATTTGAAACCTATAAAATGACAGGCAGCAATAAATAGTAGAAAGAAAAGAATAACATAAGCAACCAAAGGAGACATGCTTTAGGGTAATACAAGATCAAGAGAACTTATAAGATGAAGACATAACATCCTTCTAGGGAATGAGGGAGAGGATCAATTTAACAGATTTTTGCAAAAGTAGAATCAACATATCAACATGTTCATTCTGGCTGGATGACAGAAAATGAGCTGTGAGCTATGATGCAGAGATGAGGGGTGAGAATCTGCTTGGATGTAAGGGACAGGGAGTTGGTGAAGTTAAAAATTACCAAGCTTTATGCCTGAGTGATAGGGAAGATGATGGTAAAATAAAACAAAAGACCATGTTTGGGAGATAATAATTTATTAAATATTATATATGTTGAAGATGATGATGCAGCAGTCCCTAGACATAGATGATGCCAGCCAAGCATTTAAAAAGAAGGGTCTAAAGCTTATTCCTGTATACATGGGTTTGGAAATCAAATAGAAATTTTGTCGCTTGCCAAAGGAGAGAGAATAGAGAAAATAAAAAAAGGCCAAGGAAGATGAAAATATTTAAGGATAGAAGGAATAAGAGGGATCAGAGAGCTTAAAAAGTAGAACTACAATTACATGGAACCCATGCATTTAAGACTATTTCAAGGAAAATAATTATCATCTAGGTTCAGTAATGCAGAGAAGTCAAAGGAGGTAAAGATTAGATAAGGCCATTGGGTTTGTCAACTAAGCCATCATTAGTGACTTTTGAGGGAACAGAGTCACTTGATTTAGGGGAGTGAAGACCAGATTGTGAGAGGTTAAAGAGAGCAATTTTAGACTACTTTTTAAAAGGGAAAGAAAGAAAGTAATATGCATGTAAAAATTATCTGGTTAAAATCCAAACAAATGAAGATTTTGGAAAAATGGACACCAACATAGGAATCAAATAGGACTTCTCTGCTCTGTTATTATCTCAGCATTGCTAAAATATCAATGGTATATAATGGCATCGTGTATTCATTTTTAAAGTAGTACTTAAGTGTTCATCCCTGTAAGATTTTTATGCTAAATGAAACCCACAGATACTTTCCTAAATAAGAAGTTTCTTAAAAAAAAATTGATTCTGGAAGTAAGGTTTTTTAATTCTCTTTTTGTATAGATTATTGACCCTAATCACTTTGGGGTTAGGATAGACAGGATTGGTTATAGCAGCATATCAATTTTAGGTTACAGGTTTATTTCCTTAAAGTAATATTTTCATTTCCAATTTTCCTTGAACTTTTTTCTCGATTATCTTATCAGTTAAGTATTAAGTAGCTATAATTATTACCTTTTACATTTTCTTGTCTTATACTTCTTTTGAGTGACTTTGGCAACCTTTACAGGTGGAAAGTCATACTTCATGTGAGTTCACTTGATAATCTGTCTGATGATCTTAACTTGAAGTTTTCCTTCAGACCACAAGTGACTCAAGTGACGATGACTACAAAACTAAGAAAAAAAAGCCAGCAACAGATTGTCTAAAATTTTGCTTTTGGACAATTTTAGCCCCAGCTGGTAGAGAGGCAGAGTTCAGTGTCATTTTGAACATTTCCCAGATTTTTCCTTAACTTCTCTGTGCCATTTACTAATCTCATATGGTTATTTTGAAGATTAAATGAGTAAAACTATTTAAAATATTAAGAACGGTGCCGACTTATAATAAATTCTCTGTAAATGTTACATATCATTCTTATTTATAAATTAAATATTCTTAACCTTTTATTCTTCCTTCCAATAATTCTTTTCCTTAAGGTTAAATGATAGTGAAATTGAACGACAGCATTTTAAGGACCAAGATATGTATTCTGATAAATCTGATAAAGAAAATGATCAAGAGCATGATGAGTCTGACAATGAGGTGATAGGGAAAAGTGAAGACAGTGACACAGATACATCAGAGAGGCAAGATGACTCATACATCGAACCTGAGCCTATCGAGCCTCTAAAGGAGACCACCTACACTGAACAGAGCCATGAGGAACTCGGAGAGGTAGAAGTCTGTGATTTTCAGAGATTTGGGTTTTCTAATTCTAAAGAAATTGAATATATTATTAGTTTGACCTATTGCTTATTTTCCCAAAAGAATATTTTATACCTACTTTATTTTAGAAGTTGTATACATATGAAATATATCAGAATTTATAAACAACTAAAAACATGTAATAAACAAATATGAATATATTCTAGTAAATTTACAGTTTACATTTTCTTCAGGCTTGCTTTTGATATAGGATGCTGCTAGATGTCATTGCCAGGTACAACTAAAATGCAGGAAACTTGAGTTTATAACTTGGTTGTTTATTGCAAGTGCATAAAGGTAGCTTTATTATAATGGAGTATAATGTTTTTGTAATAGAGTCTTTAAATCATTTACTTTGGTATCTTTTGCAAATACCCTTTTTACCTAAATTTTATAGCTATAGACTTTATTATTTAATGGGTTGTTTTCACATTTTAAGAATGCTTGGAATGGTGAGATAGAGAGTTCTGGTTTTCAACATTAGCTGTCTTTTCTACACATCTATGTGTCTGAAATAAATGTAATATTTCAATATTTTTTGTTAATTGCTAAAGGCAGGTGAGGCTTCACAAACAGAAACTGTGTCTGAAGAAAACAAAAGCCTTATCTGGACATTGCTGAAACAAGTCCGTCCTGGTATGGACCTGTCCAGGGTGGTTCTGCCTACATTTATTTTGGAACCTCGTTCTTTCCTGGATAAACTTTCAGATTATTACTATCATGCAGATTTTCTGTCTGAGTAAGTAAATTCTTATTTCTTAGAGATTTCCCAGATTGCTATTCAGTGGTCATGCCTTACCAAAATTAGTCTGTAGTGAGATAATCACTCTCTTCTTCACCACTTCTGTAGTTGATCTTAAGAAATAAGAAACATATTTAATTCTTTGGTATGCTGTTTTCAGTTGAGTTGAGAGATCACGAGCTTTAGGAGGACAAGAATTTTACCCTCATCCGACAGCACTGCTGTCCCAGGCTCTCTGACCTTTTGCTGACCTAACACAGGGAGAGGTGGTTGGCATTCTTTGTTCTCCCCACTTCAACCCTGTTCAGGTCCCATCCTGTGGCTTGTGCTTTTGTTTATACCTATCCTCTCTGCGTGCCTTTAAGACATGTGCAGCTTTCCGGATCTAGAATGCCCCACCGGTTGTTGGCTCTTGGTGTAAATCACCACTTTTGTCTTTGCTTTTTTTCCCTGCCAGCGGTTCTCAACCTGTGGGTCGCGACCCCTTTGGCGGTCGAACGACCCTTTCACAGGGGTCGCCTAAAACCATCCTGCAGATCAGATATTTACATTATGATTCATGACAGTAGCAACATTACAGTTATGAAATAGCAACGAAAATAATGGTATGGTTGGGTCACAACATGGCGGAACTGTATTTAAAGGGCCAGAAGGTTGAGAACCACTGTTCTAGCCTCTTTCATCTGAAGATCAGCACACTGGATCTTCAGACATGCTTAAAGAGTATAAAAAATAGTTAAATCATGAGAGAGATAGATAGAGAGAGAGAACACCAATGCACTAACTTCACAGTAGAATTCACTTCTGACTTGCACAATCAATGTTTTTGCATCAACAAAAAGTCAAGGGAGTAGCCTTGACTTCTAAAAATTTTTTCTTTAAAATAAAAATTCTTTTTTGATTACCTGTTATATTGGTAGAGTTTGTTCACTCTGCAAAATCAGTTGATAGCACAAAGGGAAGGTTGAAGGTTAAATGTGGATTAAAAACCTTTTTTTATTAGTTTAAATTATTTTAAATCTTACATCTTTGTGATTTGAAACTTCAGTGTACAAGGGATTAAAAAGGCATATAATCCTATACTTAGGGAGGCTGTGCGGGAGAGGCTAACATTAGCCTGTTGTCCTCCCTTCATGTACTACAGCCCCCACCAGTTACCGTTGATCTCCCCTAATTATCGTCAACAACTGAAAATAGACTAAATCCCCAAGTGGACATGGTCCTTCTCTGACATATGGGACTAGAGACCTCATACGAAGTTGTTAATGAGGTGCTTGGCCATTGCTCCATTATTGCAAATGCTAGGTATCAAACAGTGCCCAAATCTCAAAATCTGTGTTTATTTTTTTTAAAATATATTTTATTGAATTTTTACAGAGAGGAAATGAGAGGGATAGAGAGTTAGAAACATCGATGAGAGAGAAACATTGATCAGCTGCCTCCTGCATGCTCCCTACTGGGGATGGGCCTGCAACCAAGGTACATGCCCTTGACTGGAATCGAACCTGGGACCCTTGAGTCCGCAGGCTGACACTCTATCCACCGAGCCAAACCGGCTAGGGCAAAATCTATGTTTATTTTTTATAATCACAATTACAGAACCTCTAGCAACATCAAGGGTTCTGCAAAACCCCAGTTGAGAAATCTTGGTTTGGAGAGTTTTCAGAAACAAATTGAGCTAAGACCTGGGTAGCATGTTAAAGAATAGGATAAATGGGAAGAAAAGTAACCAGGTTATAAAAACTGATTCTTACAAACTAATGTACATGGTTGTTTTTGATATCTATTTTAAATATGAATTATGCTTTTCAATCATATATTCAATTGTTGACTTAATAACTATGAGGGAGAATTTGTGATATAGTCTCTCAAATTTTTGTGTTTACCATTTTGATATTAGGGCTGCTCTTGAAGAAAATCCTTATTTCCGTTTGAAGAAAGTAGTGAAATGGTATTTGTCAGGATTCTATAAAAAGCCAAAGGTAATGTTTATATTTTACCTTTTTCAGCCTTATGTGAGTTCTTTATTTTTTTGTTATCTTTAGATTATTTATTAATAATTACATTGCAAGGCCTTGAGTTAGAAAAATTGCAAAATACTTAGTCCTGTATTGTGAGTGAAGTCGTTTAACTTTATTTCATGTCCCTACTGTGAAATTTTATAAGGATAGCTCCTACATAATACAGCTAAACCTATCTTGACTGGTTTGAACTATTTTGAATCTTCCGTATTTATAATTTAAATTTGGATGTTTTTTTCCTAGGGACTGAAGAAACCTTATAATCCTATACTTGGTGAGACTTTTCGTTGTCTGTGGATTCACCCCAGAACAAACAGCAAAACTTTTTATATTGCTGAACAGGTATTAGAAATGTGTCTTAAGCTAGCTGGTTTGGTTCAGTGGCTAGAGCGTCGGCCTGTGGACCAAAGGGTCCTGGGTTCGATTCCAGTCAAGAGCACATACCTTAGTTGCAGGCTCCTCCTGGCCCAGGCCCAGGTCATGGCATATGCAGGAGGAAGCCGATCGATGTGTTTCTCTCACATTGATATTTCTCTCTTTCTCTCTCTCTTAAAAAAAAGGAAAAATATCCTCAAGTGAGGATGAAAAAATAAAAAGCAATGTGTCTTAAGAAACAAAACTAATTCTGAAGTTATTGGAAAATATTAATTTAGTAAATTCACTGTTGGTTAACCATTGTTAATGAACATTTGGTAAGCATTTTACCTTTTAGTACTGAGTATTACTAAATACCATACTCAAAATTATTACTATTTCAGCCATAGAATCCTTTGACAAAAATAACTTTTTTCCTGCCTCCCATCCCTTTATCAGAATTCTTCCCTATTTCCCCAGTTCCTAAATCAAATTTATACCATTTGTGTGGCATTTAAGGTCCTCCATATCTTTTTAAATTTACCTCAAATTACATGCCTTTCTGAGCTCTACAAGTAGTCAAACTTGTACATTCAGAATTAGGTAACCTGATATTACACATTTTTTTTGCCTTAGTAGTTTTAAATTTAATTCTTCTATCCCAATATTTCTTCTCTGTTGTACTTCATCTAAATAAACCTTGACCTGCTCATCTTTCTTGGTCCAAAAGATTACAGCTCCCAGTGATTTCTCTCCTCCGACTTCTGTATTATTTTTTGTGATTATCCATTAAGCTGTTATTTTAACACTTTTTATAAAATATTTATTTCCCAAATTGAATTGTTATCTCCTTAAACGTATACCCTCCCCATAATACATCTCTTTTTATTGTACACATCGTAGGCAGTCAGAATACTTCTTAGTTTTAATCTTTGATTAATTTAAATTTATGTACACCTGTATTCATGATTGTTAATCTACGTGACAACAAATAAACCGTCCTAACAAACCTGACGAATGTGATACTATCTTTCAATAACAGTGGATCCTTATTATCATAATTCTCACCTGTATTGTAAGGAGGATGAGGAGATCATGTGGCATTTGAAAAACTTTCCTCTTCCCTAGAAATTTTAATATACCCCTCAGATTGAAACCACATATCTGTATTAATTTTTTAAATTAACGATTAGAATACCTTACATTTTAGTTCAGTATAATTCTTCTCTAAATTGAGAAGCTTGAGAAGAGTTTAATTGACTTTAGCTTTGTCTCATTTCAGAAAGCATAGGATGTATATATATATATTAAAATATTAGATTATTAAAATAATATATTTGTCAAAGTTTTTGTTAGTTTTCTATAGCTATTCATAATTTATATGAAGGATTGCCACTGGTTAGTTATCCATTTTTGTATAACAAATTACTGCCAAAACTTAATGGCTTAAACAACATTTATTATATCATACAATGAGGTTCAGGAATCTGGAGCTCCTCAGCTGGGTGGTTCTGGCTCAGGGTCTTCAGAGGTTGTAGTTAAGATGTCATTCAGCTTTGTAGTCCTCAGAAGGTTTAAGTGGGATAGAAGTTTCTACTTTCAAATTCATCACATAGCTTTTGACAATAGGACTTAGTTCTTCACAATATGGGCCCTCTCCATTGGTTTTTCACAATATGCAAGCTGGCTTTTTAGAGCTGATTATCTGAGAGACATACACAGTATAACAGTTTCAGAAGTGGCATGCTATCACTTCACATAAACCAACTTTGGTACAGTGTAAGAGGAGCCCACCTAATGGTATGCATACTGGGAGGTGAGATTCCTTGGGAGACATCTTAGAGGCTGATTACTATAATCAATATTTAATTTTACTACTTACCAAATCTTCTTTATTAATAGAGTGTACTTTTAAAACTGAACTTTTTGATATTAGCACAATAATATTCTTAATAAATTCTGTGTTTTTTCCTGTGTTCAATAGGTGTCCCATCACCCACCAATATCTGCCTTTTATGTTAGTAACCGAAAGGACGGATTTTGCATTAGTGGCAGTATCCTGGCTAAGTCCAAGTTCTATGGTGAGTTTCCTCTTGGCTCAGTAGGCACCCTTTTCTGGGAGGTAGTATTTTCTAGTGAGCTTTTATTTAGATGGTGTCTTGATATGTTTTCAGTAAGGAATTTTTATGTTATTTTAAGTTTCATTTTTACTTGAATAATGACTTTTATAGTGATTTTTTTGTCCATTCATAAATTGATATCTGCCTACTATATATATATATATATATATATTCCATATGTATAAATTTATCCCAAGCACCACTTATTAAAAGCTGAATAATGATTGCCCACTATGGTAGCCCTTTTAGTGCATAATGTATTTCTTTTGCCTTTAGCCCTTACTAAGGTTTTTGTTCCATCTTAATGTACCCAAGGGGTTCATTTTTTTTATTTTAGTCTTTTTTTTTTAAATATATTTTATTGATTTTTTTTTCAGAGAGGAAGGGAGAGGGATAGAGAGTCAGAAACATGGATGAGAGAGAAACATCGATCAGCCGCCTCCTACACACTCCCCACTGGGGATGTACCCGCAACCCATGTACATGCCCTTGACCGGAATCGAACCTAGGACCCTTGAGTCCACAGGCCAACGCTCCATCCACTGAGCCAAACCGGCCAGGGCTATTTTAGTCTTTGACTAGAGAGAGAAAAAATCCAAGTACAATTAGAATACTTGGTTCAGCATCATTTAGTAACAACATTTAACCTTGGTCCCAAAAACATACCAGAAAAGCTTTTGTTAAGTACAAGGGGAAAAGAAATGTAGTTATAATAAGAAACCTTAATCTAATAACTGTAACTATCTAAACAAACAAATCATGGCCACAGCTATGTACTAGTAGAAAATATAACCTTAAAAGCTTTCATTTGTTTTTTTAAATTAAATTTCAACTGGGAAATTTTAAACTTCAAAGAAAAAATAATTATGGTAAAATAGGAAAGATCAAATATATCAACAGAAATCTAATCTTTGGTTATTTGAATAGGTGGAGAACCATAGATAAGTCTGTGACACGGAAATCTAATAGTAGTTTTTGGTCCAGGAACATGATGTTCTTTTCTTCAAGATATTTTTTTTATTTCCCTTAATGTTAGTTTTATTTGGGTTTTGTTTTTTGCCTACTTTTATGTTATGTTTGTTTCAGATGGTGATTGTTTTCTTTTGAAGGTTACATATATTTGTTATTCCCTCCCCATTGCACCTTCCTTCCATCTACACTCCTACTTTGACTATAGGGTAAATGGCTTACGACCACGAAGAACACTATCAACCACCTTACCATAATTAATATTTCTAAAACATCATAATCAACAGCTACAGCATACCCATTATTTTCAAGTATATGTATGGTGTTGTCACTGGTCTAGACCATGTGTTTGACCATAAAACAACTCTCCATAAATTTCAAAAGGCCGAAAATTATACAGAGTATATTCTGTAACTTCAATTAAATAGAATTAGAAATTAATGATATCAAGCTAAATTACAAATATTTTGAAATTCAATAACATACTTCTAAATTCATGTGTCAAAGAAGAAGTCACAAGAGAAATTATTATATATTTTAAACTAAATGGTAATGAAAATATAACATTAAAATTTGTATGATGTAGCAAAAGCAGTGCTTAGAGGGAAATTTATAATTTTAAATTGAAAAAGGAAAAAGATCTAAATCAGTGATCTGAGTTTTTACCCTAGGAAATTAGAAAAAGAGCTAATTGAATTTAAAGTAAGTAGAAGAACGGAAATAATAAAGAGTAGACATCAGTGTAGAAAGTAGAAAAACAATACACAAATCAAACAAGGGTTGGTTTTAGACTGATTATAAAAAGAGAGTAAAGATCAGAAATAAATAAGCAGAATTATTATTGATCCTACACACCCTGAAGTGATGATAAGGAGATATTATGGACAATTTTATACTGATAAATTTGACTGCTTAGATTAACATGGGCAAATCACTTAAAAAACACAAGTTACCAACTGCGACCCAAGAATAAATGTAAAAGTGTAGTAGTCTTAAATCAATGTAAAAAATTGAATTAATGATTTAAAATCTTCCTTTGAAGATGTACTCTGGGCCCAAATGTCTTGAGTTCTTTTAAATATTTAAGGAAGAAAAATACCAATTTTATCCAACTTCTTACAGAAAATAGGAGATGAGGATACACTTCTCAACTTATTTTATAAGGCCAGCACTATTCTCACCCCCCAATACCAGCATTATAAGAAAACTATAAATCAATATCTCTTTAATATACTTGTAAAAATCTCTAACAAATTAGTAATAAGTCAGTATTATAAAGGATAATATTTAAACACATATAAAAGGATATATAAAAAGGATCTGTATCATGATCAATATATTAAAAGGATAATATGTTGTCATCAATTGGAGTTTATCTCAGGAATACAAGGTTGGTGTGTTATCTGAAAATCAATGTAATTCATATTAATAAAATAAAGGAAAAGCATTTTACAGAATTCACTACCCATTTACAATAAAGGCTGTTGACAAATTAGGACTAGATTAAAGGTATTTATGAAAAATATATAGCCAACTTTATACTCCTAAGGTGGATATTGAATAGTTTTGACTTAAAATTAGGAGCAAGGCAAAGATGTTCACACTTACTACTTCTGTATTAAATTACATTTAAGGTGTTAGCCAGTGCAGTAGGCAAGTAAAAAGCATACAGATTAGAAAGGTAGAAGTTAAAATATATACATACCTGATATATAAAAAATCCTTAAGAATATATCAAAACTACTAAAACTATTAAGTAAATTTAATAAGGTTTGAGGATACAAGATCAAAATACAAAAATAAATTGTACAAAATGAACACTTGCAGAATGTAACTTTAAAAAAAAACTTTGATTACAACAGTATGTGAAAAATAGAATATTTAGGAATAAATTTAATGAAAGATATAAATTTAATGAAAGATACCCGCACACTGAAACTACAAAATATTGCTGTAGAAAATTAAAGAAGACTTAAGTAACTGGAGAGATACACTATGTTCATGTATTAGATTTTTTTGATATTGTTAAAATGGCCTGAAATGTTGAAACAGAAACATGGATGAATATAAAAACCAGTTTGATAAGTGAAAGAAGTCAAACACAATAAACTACATATTTTATGGTGCCGTCCATACAAAACTCTAGAATAAGTAAAACTACAGTGACAGGAACCAGACCTGTGGTTTCCTGGGGCTGGAGGAAAGCATTGACTGCCAAGGTGCAAGGGGAAGTCCTTTTGGGGTATGGGAAATTCTGTATCTTGATTGTGGTTTAGGTAATTACATGACTGTATACAATTGCTAAGACTATCAAAATAAATACTTAAAATGGGTCATTTATTATATCTAAAGTAGAGGCCCGGTGCATGAAAAACGTGCACTCTGGGGGTTCTCTTAGCCCGGCCTGTGCCCTCTCGCAGTTCGGGAGCCCTTGGGAGATGTCCAACTGACAACTTAGGGCCACTCCCCAATATTAAGTGGGGAGCAGGCCTAAGACATCAGTCGGACATCCTTAGCACTGCCACAGAGATGGGAGAGACTTCCACCACTGCCACTGCACTCGCCAACCATGAGCCCAGTTCTGGCTGAGCAGCTCTCCCCCTGATGGAGTGCACTGACCACCAGGAGGCAGCTCCTGCATTGAGCGTCTGCCCCCTGGTGGTCAGTGTGTGTCATAGGGACTGGTCATTCTGCCGTTCAGTCGATTTGCATATTAGCCTTTTATTATATAGGATTGTTATACTTCAGGGGTCCTCAAACATTTTAAACGGGGCCAGTTCACTGTCCCTCAGACCGTTGGAGGACTGGACTGTAGTTTTAAAAAAAAACTATGAACAAATTCCTATGCACACTGCACATATCTTATTTTGAAGTAAAAAATCAAAACGGGAACAAATACAATATTTGTATTTGCATGTGGCCCGCAGGCCGTAGTTTGAGGACCCCTGTTATACTTCAATAAAACTGATGATGGGGGAAAAGAAAAATACATATGGGATAAAAGCTAGAAGACAATATCCTGAGATTTTATCATTGATTGAATGGATTATGGGTTATGTATATTTTTATTTTTCTAAAATATCTATAGCATTTTTAAAAAATATTTTTTAATTGATTTCATAGAGGGAAGGAGGGGGGGAGAGAGAGAAACATCAATGATGAGAGAGAATCATTGATCAGATGCCACCTGCAAGCCTCCTACTAAGGATTGAGCCCAAAACTACTGAGCCACACTTGTCAGGCTCTAGCATTTTTATGTCAAAAGAACTTAAAGCTTGGAACTTAAGTAATACGACTTACAGAAGGAATAACGTTTTTATTAAAAATTGGGCAAATTAAGCTATACAGTGAAATAGTGTTTTTTGCATGTTCCACATGTTTAAACTTTTTCTTAAAAGTCTCATATAAATTAACAAGCACTTTTCATAAAAATGAAAATATAGATCAAATATATTTCAGGTATAACATGTGTTTGGACACATTGAGATTGTGAGACATTTTTATTTTTAAAACATCCCACTGTAGGTGTCTGGTAGGTATCTTAAATATATTTCATCTGTTTTGAATTGGTGAAATTAGTTTTGTGAAATTTAATAAACGTTATTTATTTCAGGAAACTCATTATCTGCAATATTAGATGGAGAAGCACGATTAACTTTCTTGAATAGAGGTGAAGATTATGTAATGACAATGCCATATGCTCATTGTAAAGGTAAATGTTTTCCATACTTGAGTAAGATATTCCTAAAACCTTTTTAAATTAATGTATGTGGCTATAATTTGTTCTGTTTTGGGATTGATGAAGTCAGTCGTTTGTTTTAAAAGTGTACTTGTTTTATAGATATTTAAGATTATTGCGGTTATATTGAATATTTCTGTGGTGAATTAGTCTACACATATTTCAGACACATATTTTAGTTGAAAGAGGCTGTTTACAATAATGGAATTTCATTTGCCTTAAGTGCAGGTCTTAAAATTGATGAAACTACCCATTATTTCAGAATCTTCAAAAGTGATTTTCATCATCTTGCACTACCAGCCCTTTTTAAAATTTTAATAAATTGTTTTTCAGTGTACCAAGTCCTTCAAAATTTTTTCTCATCCTCATTTGGAAATTTCTTAAAAGGTGGTGTATTTGATTCCCCCCACCCCCCATTATTTAGGGTACAGATATTAAAATAACTATTGTTAACAACAGTCCCGGCACCCAACTATTCCATGCACTTTATATTTATAAACTCAGTCATTCCAGCAACCCTTATATTGGTAAAGTAGGTAATATCCCTATTTTATGGGCAATGAAAATGAGACACAAAGAGCCTTGCCTGATACTACATAGGTAGGATGTGGCAGAGTCAAGATTCTGCAATCTGCACCACAGTGCGATAGGGCATCAGCCTAAACACTCAGGTTGGTCATTATATATACCAGTGATGGCAAACCTTTTGAGCTTGGCGTGTCAGCATTTTGAAAAACCCTAACTTAACTCTGGTGCCGTACCACATATAGAAATTTTTTGATATTTGCAACCATAGTAAAAGAAAGACTTATATTTTTTATATTTATTTTACACTAGGGGCCCGGTGCACAAAAATTTGTG